AATGAATGCTGGGAACTACTTCTTCCTGGACCTTCCCAAGACCAAGTTGACACCAGCCGCAGCACCTTTTCAGCAGTCTGTTCCATAGAAAGCCTAGTGTTTTGCTTTGGTATGATCCTGATACTCAGCTCCCACTAAACTGTTGCAACCGTTGTTGCGTGCCTCACAGCAAGGCATCGAACCTCCAGGACTATGTGCAAACGACCTCCTACAGGTTTCCGGACCTCAACCAGTATGCCAGAAACCAACGAGGAAGGGGGGGAGACGGTGGACGGCTGTCTACCAACACTGACAACCAACTCTTCGCGATTGTACAGTAAGGCCAGGTGTTGTCGAAGAATGAAACCTTCAATGCATGAACTATCAATTCAGTGACTCATAGTCATAGTCAGTCATGAACTATCAAGTGGTATATAAGTTCAACATGGAGACTGCCCAACTAGGATCGCGGACGATTTCTTGCTCCTTCAGAAGCTTTGGCGTCGCATTGCCTGCCCACGACCAAGCAACATGCAAAGGACAGTGCATCTCCGATGCTGGAGTTGCAGCATGTGTGTAAGACTGCGCAGTACTCAATGGCCGGAAACGCCATGTCTGTGCCTTGTATTGGAGCTGTTCTACTATGCGCAGCCTTGGGGTTTGAAAAGATCCCCTCGACACAAAGCAAGTGCACTGGGAACTGATCTTCACACCTGTGGGCAGCGCAGTTTAATTGAATGTTGACATGGAAATTCGATCCAGAACATGGAAATTCGATCGAGAAAGTGACCGCAATTCACTGCAGATCATCGAATGATTAAAAATGGAGTGGGTCTATGTGAGAATAGGGTACCTAACCTGCTTCCCAAACTTTGGAAGATTTTGGAAGACATGCCCCATTCATTCAGATTTGAAAGTATCACACATTGGACTGTTCTGTTGAAGGTTTTGTGAATGTGTGAATGCCTTTCTCTCTCTCAAGGAAGACGGCCAGGCAAGCCTTAGGTTCCTCGACCATGTCAAAGAGATTGGCACCTGACAAGGCTGCTGCTGCTAAGGGTGCGAGACCCTGGAAACCATGGGCTGATGAGTTTATATCCAACAGTCTAGAGCGCCTCGTCTGGCTTGAGGATTGCCATTAGACTCATTGGATTCTAGTTGGTGGGATCGCCTAATTTGGGTCGATGTTGTGGGGTACCTTTCGGATCCCTCATGCCAATCTCTAGCGTTCCCAGGACCTTTGTCTTATCAGCAGGACAACACCCAGTGACGTGGCTTCTGGAAACTTTGTCTGTTGGCGAAGGCATCCTTGAGGCCCTATCAGTGTGGCTGGAGGCTGAAGTAGTGCCTGGGAAGGTCTATGGCCCGGTCAAGCTGGACAAAGCTGAATCTAGCTTTGCTTGACAGCAATCGGTTTCCTTTGATTTTGTTTGGGAGGATTCGAGACATTATGAGGTACTGTCTGAGTTTTGTGCTGATCTTTCTCACATAATTCCCAGAACCAAAATATATCACACAACAGATTCCACAGAATGGCACCTGTCCTTTCGATGGTGGAATCTGACTTCGACCCTAGGATTATAATCTAATTGCAAGTTGCAGGTAATCCAACAACAAGAGACCAAGTCAGGATCTACATTCGAACAAGCTGCACACTGTGCCACTGACTGCACTGTGGTACACCAAGCCTGCAGATGGGATTCCGTTGTATCCAACCTGGCGGAACTTGGCTTCGGACATCTTTGGGGCTGGGTATGAACCTCTCCGCGAACCTATGGAAGTCAGGATCAGACTTTCTACCTCTGAGTTTGGATCGCTTCAGTGCACAAAAGGTTTGGGTCGCCTTTCAGTGATCCTCTATGGGGCACTTTGGACCTTTCTGCACAAAGACTCATTGTCTGAGGATGTCCAGAAGGACTTTGCCAGGCCCAATCGAAAGTTTATGTCGGCCTAAGCTGGCTGAGAGATAAGTGGATGATATGCGCAGTAGACCAGGGGACAATATGCGGCTTCCCATCTAATTGTAAATGGGATAATCTGCCCGCAGATAGTCAATTTGGATGATCTGCGTCGTGGATTTCGATGGTTTGTAGTCACTTCCCAAAGGGTGATCTTTAGGCTCAAACAGTCGTCCTTTGGGATAATATGGCGTGTCCCCTGACAACCCCCAAGTATCCCAGCATATTCCAGCTATGTCACCGAATGGCATGGGCATGAAATGGCTAAGTACTTTAGGATTGGGCTAAGATGGCATACTGATATCCTGGGCTCGCAGAAGATCTTCTGGGATCGCATATGATCTCCAAGGGTGACCTTTGAGGCCTGAACATCGTCCTGTCCAACTCCAGAACAAATGCAGCAAATCCGTGACGCAGAATGTCTTCCCATGTACATCAGGGGGTGATCCTACAGTCCAAAAGGTCGTCCCCGCATAATATCTCCCAGGGGGTGATCCTACCGTCCAAAAGGTCGTCCCCGCATAATATCTCCCAGGGGGGTGATCCTACAGTCCAAAAGGTCGTCCCCGCAGATTATCCAACAGGTCCCTTTTCCTCTGGAGTTCCAGTCGCTTGCTTGCCTGAAGGTGGATCAGCACCGTCTTGGCCTTGCCGTGCAACGTCGTGGAAGAAGCTGACGAGTCCCACTATGAGTGGAAGAGGATACAAACATCAGAACAGCAAGCTCAACGGGAGCGTAAGAGCATCATTCAAAAGGCCTTGGTGTTCAACCGAAGAGCGAAAGAACTCATGCTCCAGGAGGGCCAGCTTTCTAATCACTCATGAGTCTCCAAGTGGTGCACTGCAAGTCAATTGAAGGGGTTCTCATGTTTTCTCACTGAGGAATCAAATCATGGTGGGGTTGTGATCCTTGTTGTCGCGCTGTCCCAGGAGCCGACGGCTTTCGATGGGCCTGACGGGTTCCGAGACGCCTTCATGCGCAGCATCGATGAGTTCAACCGGTATGGTTTAGCAGCGCATAACTCAAGGTACCAAGTGCCCAAAGAGCTTGCAGTGCTTTTGTATGGGTTCAAAGTTGCTTGGGCATGGTTTCAATCCTATTTTGTAGTGTGAAGAAACAGGCAGGTGGAGTTGTTTGGGTCATTGACAAATGAATGACTCCTTCGCATCAGGGGTCGTGTCTCAATGTACTTCTTTCGACAAGTGAATCTGGCCTGGCAGGTTGGAGTGGATGACGAAGTCTGGTCCCGCATGGAATGCCACCTCCACCAGCACAAATGGGAGATGTCAGGCTCGGGCTATCCCAAAGAAGTCTTTCAGTTATTACCCCTCCAAGCTTTGACCATCTTTGACCTAGTGGAAGGGATGCAGTTCAAGGTACTCAAATTGTTTTATGTTCACTTGTTTCTGCAAGTCAATCATGCCTGGACCCTGCCAGCTTTCAGCAAAGACCTGCTGCTGGAGCAGAGGTGGCTGATCGGAGGGACTGGGAAAGCATGCAACACGCTGTGGCACAACATATTGACAGTGAATAGCATGAAGCAAAGCTTGTTTCTGGATCGCTCCTCACTTGAACAAGCCAGGTGTTACTTTACTTTGGTTTGAGTGTTTTACTCTCTCTCCTCCTTTGCTTGGTTTAACAAGCCAGGTGTTTTCGGTGCGCCTCCTCGCTTTGCCCAGGCATTTGCTTGTTGCATTCCGTGAGCCTTCGGCGAGCAGGCACAAGGACGGTGGTTCGTCTCACATCGGCGGAGTGGTGCCTGGAGATGGACATTTGCTGCACGTTGGGATGGATGAAGCTTAGTCGTGAAAGCATTTGGGGAGTAAGGGTTTTGTATGGTTTGTTGACCGCCTACTTTATTGTCAGTCTTTTAAATCACTCTCAGCTGATAGAGTAAACAATCCAGGCTTCAAGAGATGTCCAACGCCCGGTGCGACGACGGCACAGCTCTGTTTGACACTACTGCTGTGGATGCGGCCCGCAGTCGGTGCGTTGAGGGGTGTCTAGGCTAATCAAAAGACGGTTTTGCCTTGCCTTTTTCCTTCGTCCCCATTCTACCTCCAGAAGTCTGCACCTGCACCTGCACCTGCTTTCTTGTTTGCAGTAAAATATCAATCAGAGCTGTTGCGGTTACCTCAGGGACTTTCACTTGGAAGTGAAGGAGTTGCTTGCGTCAAAGGACCCCACCTACCGAGCTTCATTCGCAGCAGTCTGGAAGGAAAGCATAAAGGAGACCAAACCTGCAGAGGACCCTTGGATGAAAAGGGTCAAACTTAAGACTCGTTTCATGCTTTCAGGGCTTTGCTTCCAAAAACTTGACGGTTACCCCTGCATGGTTGAATTTTGAAACAACCTCGCCACAAGGAAGATCCATTCTCAAGAGTTGATGAACAGCTGCAGAACCTAACAAAGGATGCACGATTCTTGGTTGATCAAATCACATTTTGTCACCATACACCTTGTCATAATTTAATCATCTTTTGCCAATTAGCTTACATTAGCCCACATTAGCCTACTATACTTTTTGCGAGAGACAGCGTCTGTCAGGAAAAGCGGCATATGATCGGGACGTCTTGCAGTTTACACGCGACTGCGCCACGGTGGGCAGGCTGTTTGAGGCAGACCAGAAATGTGAGAACCCCGCCTTCAACTTAGTCAGTTTTGTTTTGGCACAGCGGCACACCCCCAAGAACCATCAAGTTAAGGTGGCATCCATTAGCACATCTAATCCAATGCCTTTGAGGGTCTTGATTTGGTCTTTTGAGGCTGTGTTTTTTGTTAAAGGTCAGCTCCCAGCATCCCCCCAACCAGCCTTGTCATGGAAGGAAAAGCAAGCGGACAGCTCGAATATTACACCTCCAGAGTCAGAATATGATCGGCGCCTCTCTCGTAAAGAGCTACATGGACTCGAAAGTGTGCTTCAAGACAGGGCTATGGGGTGAAGATTTGGATGTGACCACTGCAGTTGACCAGGACTGGTGTTGATGAAACCTGATGAAAACCCTAATCCATGGTATTTTGTGTTCATGATACATCATGGTTCTGACATTGGTTGGGCAAGCATGCTTCTAAATCCTGAGATGGTGCACGATATGGCTGACAAGGGCGGTGGCATCATCATTTGGCAAGATTTCACCAAGCTCGGCAAAGTTAGCGGCAAAGAATTGAACAACTTCACTGACATGATTTCCGGAATGCTCCGATTGCGACCAACAATGAGTGCAGCATTTGTCACAGCACCCATCCTGATCTCAGAGAAAATCAGCAACAATATTCGTGACGAAATGCGTCGCTTCGAGGACAAATTCGATGCGAAGCACTTGGCAAACTACATGGTGACCCTGAGAATGGAACTTCCTCCGCAAGCAAAGAAGGTGCCCATCATTTTTTCAGGGTTGGCTCCTCATTGACCAGTCCACTGAGAGTGACAATATCTTTGCTTGCAGCCAACTTGTCCAAGACAGGTGAGGGGGGCTTGCAATGTACCACTCAATGTACCAATGCTCAGCGTCTGGATGTTTTGTGATGTATACTTGCGCATGAGCAGGGGCGTGAGACTTGCTTTACTATTAAACGGAAGTCACAGTAATCCATGGTGCATGGACAAAGATGTGCATTATGATAACACTAAAGATCCAGACCTGAAATTGACATCCGGTTATTTTGTAGGGAACTCCCACCAGGATGCAAAGGGGTTCAAGAGTTATGTGCATCGTCAGTTCCATGCCCCTGGTAGAGGTCACCACGCAAGATGATACCGTTTCAGCCAGAAACATCATACATCGTCCCCACGGCGGAGCGGGATGCACTCCCTCATGCATCCGAAGGAATGAGGCAAGGAGTCAAATCAAATCCTGATACCATTTAAAAACGGTATATCATGTTTGTTCAACCATTCCACTTTAGGATGATCTAAATATGAAACTGACATAAAATAGATCTTGCTCAAGCTGCTGCCTCTCGCACTGGTCTCACTAACCCAACATCCTCCAACTCCCGCCCACTGAGTTCTCTGGCGCAGGTCTCTCTCGGAGTTCCAGGAGACAGCGCAATACCTTTCGGGGTTGAGCTTTCCGGAGGCAATACTGGCTTCATTAACAGCCAAAGCAAAGCTGTCGTCCAAGCAGTTGTGCATCATCAACTGCACTACCTATGACTGCTGGCTGGAGCGCGCTTGCATGAAGTGCCTTTGCTGCGCTTGCACTTAATGTTGTGGGGCTCAACTTTTTTATTTTATGGTCATTTCAGAGGCAAACAAATCCAGGTATCCTTTAATTCCTTATGGTTGCAGGATATCACGAAAACCAAATAGAGACAGGTCGGACACTTTACCTGGCTTTGAGATGAAGACCCTCAGCTTTTCAAAGCAAGCTGGGGTGGTGGAATTCTGTGAGAAAAGCATTGCCATGGACCTAATTCAGGACTGGTGTTTTCAAACCAAGTGAGGTGACACACACACTCACACTAAATAACAAGCTCTTAGGTAGCCTGCTGACTGTTGCGTCTGTAAAGCTTCTTTGAGTACCCCTGGAGGCTTGGAAGAGTGGCAAGCATGGCATGGGGAACGTGCGACCCTACGAGCCCCACATGGTTGACTCAATGGACGATGTGAAGCTCAGCGATTTCAAGTTCAAATTGCTGAGTGTGGAGCTTGTGGACGGCACCAAGAACAAGTTCAACCAGAAGTACTCCATAACTTTGCCACCGCAGATCAGGAGCCGGTACGCTGATGATGTTGTGTTTAGATCTGAATGGCGCAGTCTTCTGAATAGCTTTGATGAGAAGTTTTCTGGGTTGCACTTGAGAACCGCTGTAAGTTTTGGGGGGCCCCTTCAACATCATCCAGGGTTTGTGTAGCCTGTTACAGGTTACAGCCTCATCCCAACACCGCCAGCCTCAGGTTCAGCACCATCGACGTCGTGAGCGCAGAGAGCGATCCACCTGATGAGAAGGCGGTTGAACCGGAACTACCCCCATGGTTGAACGAGCCAAAGGACATCAACGGGGTTCTTGAACGGTACCATATCGAAGCAAAGGTAACTGGACGATTGGCTGGGACGACTCTCTTCCTCGTCCAGGCCAAAGACCGTTCAGGAAAGTGTGAGACTTGTCAGTGTGAAGTAGGTGTGGCAAACCACTTTTTCAACCATTCATAATAAGCTAACTGGCTTAGTCACTTAGTATTAGACTATCTTGTTTGATATTGTTTGCATTTCTCACCCCTGACCCATCAAAGGAAGACGTGGAGGAGAGGCAGGAATGGAAACTGTTCCTCGTTTCCTGGCTACAAGAGAGATCGCAATAGCTATCTAACTGTTTTCTAACAAATGCGAACACCTCGTGATGAACATATTTAAAATTAGATCTTGTTTTGAGGCCGCGCATGTGCCGGTGGAAATCGGCACTGAGCAGTTCATTATTGGCCATGGAAATTCAAGGTTCATCAAGCATGACAAGGTCCAGGACATGAAAAGAAAAGCGAGAACAGGACCCTCGCGATGAGTGTTCTTGTCTTGTTCTTGGACAGGTATTATACATTCTTGTTCTTGTCGAGAGTCATTCTGAACAGGGTTGGTCGGGACACGCGTATTCCTTGCAATTGTGCCTTCCCCGCTTCAGCATCAAGCTGGTATCATTGAAACGAGGCCGGCTGGTTGACCAGGTCATTTGCAGGTCTCACTCGTGATCACTCGTGTTCCCCACCCGGCAATGGTGGCATTGGAGGATTTGCTAGCTCAACATGGCTTTGAACAGGACCGCAAGCTTGTGTTCCACTCATTGCCAGCAGTGCAACACACACACACACGTTCCCAGTCATTTTTGTTTCAATAGGGGTTACAAAAAACCAGGATTTTACGGCGCTTGCAAAGACGGATGAATCTTTGACACAGACTCCGCCTTGCAAACCGGCGTAGGGCTTGGGATTTTGGATAGTTTCTGTCAGCTCATTCGATCTCATCGCACAGTCCTGGCAGACCTTTCTACCCAGGCCATCTCCCCGCCAAGCTCTACGACCCCGCAGTCTTTTGGGGGCAAGGAGCAGGACTAGTATTTACTGGGGGGTTCAAATTCGATTCATTTCGATTCAATGATTGACATGTCTGGGTTTTTTCTGCGTTCACAAGTTGGTAGGAGTCACCGGGTCCAAGCGCTGCATCTTCTGCTGCAAAGCCTACTATGCCAATACGAACATCGGAGTCCAATGAATCAAACAATCCTTCTCTTTCCGCTGAGAGAATCCAAGCTTTGCAGAAGGTGGTTGAGGATGCAAAGAAGCTTTCGAAGGCAAAAGGCAAAGAAGAGAAGACCGAGAAGACCAAGGAAAAGAATGACAAGGCTGCTAACGCTGATGATCACAAAAAGGAGGTTCGTGAGGGGACGATTCAAAAGGATGGTCTACAGCAGAAAGAAGCAAATGAGCTCAAGAATGGCAAAAAGGGCGATGAAGAAGTTGCAGAAGTCCACCCAGAGACGACAAAGTCGAAGAA